TGGTCGAAACACTTCTTTACCACCTGCAATACGTATGTAACATGGGCGAGGCCGCGTTAATCCACGATTGGTAACCAAACACCATCATTGCCAAGAAGGTCTCTTGCAAATTGGACGACAAATCACAATACAGTAGGAGACTTCACTCAAAAGAACTCAAACATTTTCGTTTCGTGTAAGTATTAGGCGCAGGGAGAAACCCAATAGGTCACAGGCACGCTATACCCACGACGACACCATGTTTCACAACAATCAATTCCACTTATCCAGCCAGTGGCGGGATCAAAACTACGATCTCTGCAACTTCCACGACAGCGACTGAGTCTCCCTCTGATCCCATTTCAACTTCATTGATTTCCCGTGCACCCACCAATGCAACGATGATCGTCCTTCTACCAATTATAATGCAGCCACAACAATCTATTAAATGTTAAATTTACCATGTTTCAATTTTTCAACGAAATATTATGGAATGTATTGGCATTGACAGGTGTCCAGGTCAGGAGGAGATCAGTACGTAGGACCCATCAATATCATTACACAGATTTCGCAAACGCTGGTTCTGTGCTATCTGTATCCTACCCTGTCAAATTCGATTAGTTTGGAACCAGCCTGTAGCAACTTGTTGCAGCTGATGCCAAAATCGCACGATTTTACAACCAGTACCTTGTCCGCTGCATCCGCATAACATTTCACTTTGAGCCACCCTTAACAGCCATCATGTCCGACGAGGTGCAACCGGACGCCGACTCCTCAGTACGGAAATGGTGGAGTGATCCCGACGATCTAAGCCTCCTCACACAGGTCAACAATGACCTTCCTTTTAAACATGTAAGAACATAGCCAAGGTATGGGACCGTGTCGCAGCCAAGCTGCTACAGGTGCCATCGTTTGCAAGAAGTGGCATTGGACAAGCATTGGAGGTCAAAACGAACGTCCGGGACCAAAGGTCTCTCCACGTCGCAAGCCAGTAGACGAAACAGTCGCATGCGCTTGCGGAAGTTCGCCCCACGTCGCTTCTTAAAAAGCACTTCGACCTCATTGCACGACAACATTTTGGGAGGTGGTGGGCATTCAGGATGCCACAAGTTGATTGGGTGAATTCAGCGGATAGAACCAATAATAATATCGGATGACTTGCGAAATTCGATGGTTGTGAAGTTTCATTCTATCCGTGTTCTGAATTTTAGGTCACAGGTAGAATAGAACCAGCCTTTTCGAAATCTGTCTATTAGATTTGCAGCCGTGTTCTGATCAAAATGGTCTCATTCCAGATATCTAGGTTCAGTATAATTTTTAATAATACTGAGTGTGGATGGAATATCGATAAAATATACAAACGTAAAACAGAGGTACCAGGATTACAGATGTTTAGATGGGATGTAAGGTCAGTCATGCCAAGATCCCAGCGCACTCTGACAATCTGGTATATAGCACATCGATACCGGGGATCGAACGCTAGACTTCTCGCCCGTTTATCGGACGCAACCTGTTGAGATGAAAGTTCCTGTTTCATCCCAAAAATTGAACTTTGGCCAAGGTTTATGTATTATTGAAATTTATTGATAATTTTCAATAAATTTTAATTACTTCTTCTACGACTCTTGTTGGAGCCGACAATGATGTTTTTAATTCGGCGACTTACTTGAGGTCGCTCACTTTCTCAACCTGGTCTATATCTCCCACGACTTTTTACTTGAGGTCGCTCACTTTCTCAACCTGGTCTATATCTCCCACGACTTTTTCAAATGGCTCCTGCATTCGAACAAATCGGTGTATTGCTTCTAGTAGCACCGCGCGTTCGTGTCGGATATGGCTGCTTCGGCGACTCCATGAACACTTCGATTGATAATCTGGCGGGATTTCTGTGGAATGCCACCGGTTGAGTCGGCAACGGCGATTAAGACCACTCAAATTCCATATTGAACCCAATACTGCAAATGCACCTTGAGTGTTCCAAGAGACGTTACCAGTCTTACGGTGGGAAGCGACAGTGATACAAATGACATGGAAACTTCCCCCAAAGTCAAAGTACTTAGGACAAAAACCGGATATCCAGACATTGTCAAGTTGAAGTTATAACCATGTGAACGATCGCACGAATACCTGAGTTGTCCGCAAAAGCAATTTCAAAGCAACGAGGAAATTGTGAGCTCTAAACAAGGATTCAGAACTTGACAGACTACTAGCACACTCACCTATGCGAAGAGAGGATCGATATCGGAACCTTAACCAACGACGTATCGGTCTTCTCTCATTGTCACATCAAATACGAGGGGGTTATTCGAATGCGTTTCAGCCACCAATCATGAATGCCGTACCTTCAAAGTGATGTTTCAAAGCACGCAGTCTGAGTCTACATGGCCTAGTACTGACACCCTCAGCGCTTGGCCGTGCCATCTATGCGCCAAACTGAGCTTGCATCTCAGCTTCAATAATCAGCTCATCAGGTTTTCTGAATGGGTTCTCGTCGATGAGGTGCTGAAGTGTGAATTTTATGGGCTGCGAAACATATGATTTTCATGGCGTGACTTGTCAATACTCGAACTGCAATGATTGAGTAGGTGATGATTAGATTAGCATTGTCGTTTGATTCTCCTCATTGTTCACTCTACTACAGTTATAAAGCGACAAAGAACAGATCATGTTCGTTTTAATTATGCGAAAGATCCGAACTACTTCCTCCTTCCTAGTTTAACTGGAAGAGCCAGTTCAGCTTACATCGATAAATGATGACGGCTTGCCATCAAGTGTCCTTTCCAAACCTGCAGCAAGGATTACGTCTATGACATGTTAACTGATTAAGCTCATGGCTATTTAACTCCAAGGTTGAAGCAGCTCAAACTTGAATATATCATTGAACATCCTACCAAACGCTTCAGGAGGTAATCCATTGTGATGCTCCGAAGTGCCAAAATACCTTTCTCACTTGATACAGGACAAATTTCGATATCAATTGCATGCTCCCTGAGTACAAATTTACCTGTCACATCGAATAAATACATACCAATAATATATATAATGTTGAATATACTCATAAAATGAATCCGTATCGAACTTGTCGATATCAATTCTTCGAACACGTTGCACAGCACCACTTCGCTCGACGCCTGAGCCGATTCCACTTCGGCAGACGCGGAGTGGACACGTTCGTCCTCATCGCTGAAAAGGACACAAGCGGGCACAAAAACGTCGACGAGATGCAGCGGTACTTCGGGCAGTAGGCCTATGCCCTCCAACTGGCACGTTTTCGGATGTGGGACGCAGAAATCGTTGCCGCCACCTCATTGAGAATCTCGATCAAAACGAACTGCAGCGTGCGAAAGTTGGCAAGCATTGTCGTCCAATGCACGTCACCCACGCGGCAAGTACGTTGGTGACAATGTCGTCCAATGATCGCGCATGTCGCTTCACTTGGTTCGATTGTAGGACACAAAAAAGTCCAAGATCCAGCACGTTGGTGCTGGGCGAGTAGGCGGGTTGGCAGACGACGGAGATGGCAAATCCGTCCGCGTACCAGCGAGTCGAATGTCGACGTCGTCCAGAAGTACGTGTGGGTGCGCGTTGTCTTGGTGGAGATATATTTTTCTAAGAGTCATGAAGGGACCAGTTTGTCTTGATCGCTGGTATGACATTTTTAAGATCACTCTCTTGTAATCATACCACAAGAGGCTTGGTCATGGGGTGTTCCTTTGGCGCGGTTCTCGCTATTTCTGGCGACGGGAACGACTATTTTCAATGGCCAGCAGCCAATCTTGCTATCCCACCAGGAATTCGTGGCATTATCCCAGCGGGGCTTAGCTTCGACGCATAGGAACATGACCCATGTAATTGATGAGCTTTATTGTGTTAATTTGTCTACCTTGAGGATAAGGGTTTTGTTTTTCACCAGTATTGGCGGAGGCTTTTCCCCAGAATTCGTGAACTGCACACTTTGTGGCCTTGAGGAAGAACCGTTTTCCGTCCACATGGACGTAGTTTTCCATCTTTTCACAGTGAAATCCGAGCAAATAAAGCTTAACGCCCATTTGCTACGGAAATACATGCTGGATTGGGTAAGATATGGTTTCAAAGGACGGGAATACTTGTGAAAGATTGCTGATTATAGTTGGTTGTGTAGAATCGATTTTGGCACATTTATTGCAACAGATAGGCCGCACAAAGTTGTTGGATCTTTCGCCTCTGTAGATTGTATTCTAGCCAAGAGGTCAGGATAAAGGATCTTGTGCACACACTTCCCTTTCCTTCTAGATAGAGCGCAAACTTTTCCTATTAAACTTCCATATTTGCCGACATTAGGTTGGCGCCCTCGTTTCCAAATTCTGGAGACCGTTTGTGGTAATAAACCATACTCCTTCGTAACTTCGCCCTGACTACCGGAGGGCTGGTCGCCGTTCCATGAACGTTCGAGAAGGCTTCAAAAGATCTCCTCACTCACCAAATCCGTCAGGTTGGGATTGCTCCCTTAGCCGGACGTATGTCTGCCTGGCCCGCCTGGCACACGTGCCATTTCAAATCCTGTCTATCCCGACTACCGAAGTTTTTTCCTCTGAGATGACGTATTGTAAGAATAGATCGAGAATTAGAGGATCATGGTGAATTTCGAGCGTAGTCCATCCCATTTTCACCAGCTCATCCAGTTAAGCTCGGAAGGAGGTAGTACCTCCTTTCACTGCGCGACTCAATTGGCTCAGTGACGCCGAGAAAATTCTACAAGGTACCGTCAAGTTTATATCAGTTTAGACGGATATTTCAGTTAGGACTCCTCTAAAATGTAATAAATGCGCAAGGCCAAGAAATATTTATTGTCTCGAGTATTCCTTCGCGCGAAGAATACCCTTAATACTGAATAAAAACCTCGAATATCAATAAAGTACTAATTTATAGAGGCACGCGAAACGCGCCAGGACATATCGGCCAGAACGGAGCACTTTCTAATGCCTCGAAGGCGCCCAGTGACGAAGTATGGCGAGAAGAAGCCACCAAAGTAGTTCAAGTGCATGTACATAACGTTCCAGAAGAAGGAAGAGGTGATTGATGCCTTTGAAAGCATTGGGATGCAAGAGACGCTCAACACGCACTTTGCCCACTTGGTCGGAGCTGCCCGGGAGATTGCACGAAAGAAAGTGTATGGTTGGATTAAACAACGAGATCACATCATGAAAATGGCCTCTTGCCCACGCACTTCGACCTACATGACCACGCGCACGACCGGCACAGGAACGACTCTGCCGTCAGAAGTCGAGGAGCAGCTGGCACGATGGGTCCAAACCATGCGTACCGACGGAGTGCCTGTGACGCCAAAGATGCTTCAGCTCATGGCATTGGAGTATGCAGTAGACGTTGGGCTTACCGAGTCGGAGTTTCTGGCGAGTTGGCATCAAGAAGCGATTCAACTTGTCGACGCGCTGCAGGACCCGCCAAGGTCAGGATACGGCAGGCGACGGCGAGACGGTGCTTCGTGAGTTCTCCCAACGCGTTCGTGACTTCATGACGGCAAATGGAATTGATGTCGTCTATAACGCCGATCAGACAGCCATCAACTACGAGTACTTACCAACTAGGACGATCAACCAGCGTGGTGAGAGAACCGTGTGGGTGCGGTGTGGAGGCAAGACGAAAGACCGTGCGACCGCAATGGTCATGGGGGACTCTGCTGGCAACAAGTATCCCCTCTTCGCGGTACTGACGACAGCGCAGTCGAAAATGAACGCCGTCGTTCAAGAGAACTTGACCATGCGCCATGGTTTCGGGAAGACGGTTTGGCGACAAGTGCAGCCACTACAAGATGAGATGTGATGTCAGATTCATGGAAATCCAACCGCGTGGTGGAACAGCGGCCTGTCGATTGCCTTCTTACGATTTCACTTCGCCGCAAGGCCCGATCGAGAGTCCAAGAAGGTGCTGCTGCGTTGGGATGATTTCTCGGCGCATTCAGCTCGGACGTTGTCGCCTACGCACATGAATTAAATGTCGAGTTGATGAAGATACCGCCGAGATCACCTGGGTGTGCCAGCCGGCTGACGTTTCATAGATCCGGCCCGCCTCTGAAGGCACGCTTGCAGGCGATGTGGATCGACATGATCAAGCAGCAAGTGTTTGCCAGCCGAGTATGCGGGGGCCCTATCAAATTGCAGCCGCCTAATCGCATGGAATTCTGAGTTGGATC